GAGAGAAGCTTAGTAGGACTGTTAAATAAACACACAGAGACCTTCGCCTCAAACTTATCACCTCAACCCCCCCACCCCCCCAATCCCTCACTGGGTGGCGTAGCTGGCTCCGTCAGTCACCCCCCCCCCGCCAGGCTTTTAGGCTAACAGTTTTTATCTTATATAATATCTCAGACTAAAGTTAGAAGATTATAATTTGTATTGCTGGAATCCTTGCAAGACAGCCAATAATTTGAATATAAACGTCATATATTTTGCTCAAGAGATAAAAATTGTTGTACATTAGTGTACAGTACTGTAGTACATTTTATAAAAAAAGTTTTTCAACTGTATTTTTGGGTAGATTTACATAGATTTCTTCATTTATTTTCATCCATTTACATGCACACACCATACTAAAAGAAACATAATAGAAATAAATGACCTTAGTGCAAAGCTGGAGTGCACATGTACTAATTTGATTACGGTACTAAAATTGTTTTGTCTAGTGCAAATTATAGCATGTTTATATTCAAATTAATCAGTATGTTACAAGAATCCCAGCTATGTTAATTATATTCACCCAGGTCATTTCACTGGCTTTTTATAAGAGAGAAGCTTAGTCACCTAAGAACTGATAAATATACAAGCGTTAGACCTGGGCCTGCCACCAAACTGGTGCCTGCACTTCGGCATCTCAGCTACCCTGAGAGATTGGAGCGCCTGAACTTGCCTAGCTTATACTACAGACGGGCAAGGGGGGACCTAGTTGAGGTTTATAAGCATCTCAGGGGGCACTACTCAGTTGAGTGTCCTTACTTGGAGCTGGCGGACGCTCGCCCCACAAGGGGTCACAGCTCAAGATTGAAGAAGCCGCAAGTCCAGAAAACCGTAAGGGCAAACTTTTTCGGAGTGAGGGTTGTAAACTCTTGGAACAATCTACCAGAGAGTGTTGTGACGGCACCGAGTGTGAGCTCTTTCAAGAGAAGACTTGACCAACACTGGAGCGGGTTCAGGTACATTCAGGAGCCGGTGCATGCCCAGTATTTGCCAACAGTGCGTGACAGAGACGTGACCGATCGCCCTGGCGGCTAGCGAGCCGACCTTTTGGTGAAGAATATAAAGGAAAAGTGACGTGACCGATCGCCCAAGCGGCTAACAAGCCGATCAGTGGCGAAGAGGATAAAAGTAAAAGTAAAAACTGTCAAACGTACTACCTCCCCTCCCCCCACGCCCCCTTGCTTGCTCCCACCCTCTCTCTCCCCCATCTGCTTGGTGTTGCTGGAATCCTTGTAAAACAGTGAATAATTTAAATATAAACGTCATGTGTTTTGCACAA